AAAATATATATATACAGGGTGATTTTTTTATCATAACCCACTCAATTACTTACAAAATAATAATAATTTAAAATTTTTTTTTTATTATTATCTTTAGTTACACATTATTCTTGAATTATTAACTATGCAATACTTTTTAAGTTCATCCCTTATGTCTGGTAAGAGTGTCAACTTTGTTTTTTTAAATGGTAACATATATTTTTAATTTAATAAAATGTTTGAGTTTTTAATTTAATAGTAAATGGCATTTGAATTTTTAGTATACCTTTATTTGTTTATTAGATATACAATTTTTAAGTTTCAAATGATTGAATTAATATACATGTATAATATACAAGGGATTAAAAATATAAGTAGCTAATTGGTTTTTTATGATATTGCTATCACAGTCACGGATTGTTTATTATCAATTATGACTATCAATAGATATACTTTTTGTATTGTCAGTTAGTGTATTTATAAATTCACAACAATGTACCTTACTATCATTGATAATAACAATGCTTTGTACCTGCTAATATCGATGTCATAAAAAAAGTGTTTTTTGAATCAAACAATATTTTCCTTACCAAAAATTTAAAATTTTCAATAGTTACTGAGTAAACGAGTGTCTTATCCTTAATGAATCACATTGCTAATATCGATGTCATAAAAAATCCATTAGCTACCTGTATTTGTAAAACCTTGTGTATTATACCTATATATTAACTCAAAAATTTGAAACTTTAAATGTTTATATCTAATAAGCAAATTAAGTTTCATTAAAAATTCAAATGCCATTTACTATTGGATTAAAAACTCAAACATTTCATTAAATTAAAAATATGTGTTACCATTTAAAAAAACAAAGTTGACACCCTTACCAGGCAAAGGGATGAACTTAAAAAGTATTACATAGTTAATAATTTAAGAATAATGTGTAACTAAAGATAATAATAAAAAAAAATGTTTTAATTATTATTATTCTGTAAGTAATTGAGTGGTTTATGATAAAAAAATCAACCTGTATACAGGATAAAATAAAATAAGTTATTATTAGAAATTCTTTATTTAATAGACCTTTCATCTGTTACAGCATTTTAATACACAATGTGTACATCAAGGCGAGTACACATACACCAGTTAGAGACGCAACCTCATTTTTTTTTTTCATATCATCAAACTAAAAATAATTATAGGATTCTTTATCCCCGAAGGTATGAAAAAAAAAATTATAAGATTTGATTAAATGTAATTGTAGAATTTTACATTTTTATTTTTACAAAAAATTAAAGATTTCCAATAGTTTCCAAGAAAATAGGTATTATTTGTAAATGAATAATCTGTAAATACCTTTACTTATTAGATATATTACCCCCTATTTTTTCGTTGAAAAATGATTTTTTTTATAAAAATGTATACCTTAAAATTTATTTTTATAAAATATTGTTAATGTAAATTATACTATAAGAACATATTATTCTTAATTGTAGTTAATAGGGGTAATATTCGAAAGTTAAATAGGATCCTTTCATTATTTTTTTTTCTATTATATGGAAAATAGTCTATATAAAATTTTGTTTGGTCGTTACAAAACTGGTAATTAATTATTGTATAGCGAAAACAATTTTAGAACTTTTATTATTTTGAAAATACAGTATTATTATAAAAGATATCTCGTCACTGTTTGCTCTATTACTATTTATAATATATTTTTTATATAAATTATTATTTTTGCACATTTATTATTATCTTCTATTAGAATCAAAATTAAATTATGAATAATATAATTAAACAATTGTATAATGGAGTTTTTTTTTTTTAAACAACATTAATAATTTGTGATATAACTTAGAATTATTATAAAATAATAAGAAATGATATTTTTGCTGTGTATTAAGTTAAATTATATATTAATAATACTTAACTACAGTTAAAATACCTACTAGTTCCTTAATATCAAATAATTGTTCTAGTTTTTACTCTCTTAGTGGACAGTAGGTAAATGACGCCACACAAGAAAGATTTTTAGTAAAAAATATGCAATTAAAATTAAATATTGGCTTGTATCTTGAAAGGAAGATAAATTTATTTATCACCTATATCTTTATTAATTTTTTACTAAACATTAAAGAATTCGGTGAAATTTATATTAATTTTATTAAAATTGAATTTTGGACGGTATTAGCCATAAAGTAAACTGGAGTAAAAGTCCAATATTAAAATAATTATTTTAATTTTATAATTATGAACCAATGAATAATAAATATCAAATCTAGGACATTTTTTACAAGTGACTAAAACGTCATTATAAAATCATAGACATAAAATTTTATACATTATATAAATCATAAAAATTTGTCATACTTTTATTTTATAATTCACTCTTTAAGAATACAATTTTAAGTTTATAAAATAATTTTATAAGACTTGAATTTATTTTGATTGGACGTAGAATATTTTTATTAATCAATATTTAATTTATTAATTAATATTGAGTAATGGCATACTTGTATTTAAGCACACAATTTTCATCATGTAATTTAAAAAACAATTCTGATTTGGAGTAAAAGTCCATAGTAGCGCCTAAAGAATACATTTAAAACTTAATTTGAAGCAAATAAAATGTATACAAAAAAATAATCAATTTAACAACAAACAAGTATAAATTTTGTGTTTACTTAATAATATATTGTATAATCAAATAATTATATCATAATTATTGTAAATGTAACAAATTCAATGAAAATATTAGAAAAATAATATGAACAACAGTAAATAATACTAAATTTTTAGTGGGCACAATTATTCAATTATTATTTAGTCGTACTTAAAGTGTTACAGCTGTTGTCAAAAAAAAATAAACAACCCTAATGTATTAACTTGAAGTAATAAAAGAGTAATAATAACGCAAATGTAATTATTAAAGACATAATTAAACAATGTAAAACATACACTTAAAACACAATAAAACAATACACAAAATGAAAGCTGACAAAATGACATTACATAATCGTAACGCGTTCCCGAGGTCCTCTCTTTTCTTCCCCTTTATATTCATTACATTTCTTTTTATATACTAAAATATTTTCTTTTTCTTTTTTTTTTTTACAAAATTCATAATACAATCATTTTCAAAAATGTTTATAAAGATTTACTTCCTGGTCTGGTAACAATAATTTAGGAAATTACAATTAATCCAAATATTATAAAAATATTTTACTTTTAGCTTTACAAAATAATGACCTATATTTACACAGCTTTGTGTAAGCTAATGGCTTTTTTTTTTTGTTATATTTAATTGTTTATACATTTTTTTTTTAGCCTTAGATATTTTTTCATCTACGAATTTGTTTTCTTCAATTTATTACTTTGTTCAGAATATGATATATTTAGTTTTGATAAAATTTTCGATAAAAATATTAAATTAAACGTGTAGTCATATTAATATTGTTTACGTGTTTTTATGATTTATGTAATTATTATAGAAAAAGTATTTTTGTCTTTACAAATTTGTATGTTTTGTAGACAAATTGCATTGGGGAAAATCAATTATTGAATCATAATATAAGTAAAATATATAAAATATGTCTTAGTAGATTATCATTACAATTTTTTTTGTAGTTTTGACATTGATGGTAAAATAAAAATGATAAAAATTGAACAATGAATTAGTCATTATTTATTCAAGCAATATCAAAGCCTAAAAATACAAACATAATAAATGACTATGGATAAATGTGTATGGGCATTACAAAAAAAAAAAAATAGTACACGGTGTGGTCCTTAATTTTCAATGTTACTCATTATAAATATAATAAATTACTAAGATGATAGTTGGATAGACCCAATCAGCCTATCGCACACAATGTTGGTCATTCTAATTTCTATGTACATTGTGTGGTACTTAATTTTCAATGATACTTTTTTTTCAGAATGCCTCCTATAATTGTTCTATATGTTATAAAATTAAGTTTTGTGAAATTGCCTAATGATCAAATATTTTTCAAGGCGCAGAGAGGTTGAATTTTCATAAAGTGGGGTGAAAATTAGTTTTTAACACATTACTGGGTAAATTTTACTTAATGACAAAAGTTGATACAACAAAATTTTTTTAAAAATACGTTTTATGAAAAAAACGTTTTTGTCTTCTTAATCTTAATTACGTATTTCATAAAATAATTTGACAAAATATGTTTACACTGTTTTTCTCAATTCTTGATTTTTTTATACAATTTTCTCCCTACTAGCATAAACATAGTATAATACTAAAAATAAATAATTATTATATATAAATTAACTAATTTTCAATCAAAGTGTTTTTCATTGCATCAGGAAATATTTTTCTGTAATCTATTACAAATTGTAAAAGAAATTGTTTTTGATCCTCTTTTTTTTTAATAAGTGAACTATAGTCTCCTTTAAATTTTATTGTTCTTTCTGTAGTATCGTATACAACTTATAAATGGCGTACTATTTTTTGATATTCAAAGTAATTTTTATTTAATTTTCATTGTTCAGGATCCTCATTTAAAAAGCAATTTTTATATTATAACGTTCAAAAAAATTGTTTGAATTCATGCCAATAAACTCATCAATAGTATTACTTACAAAATTATTTATACTTTTCGATGTTGTTTTATATTTTCGTTATTTCTATTTTGTAATGATTTTACCATCAGTTTTTTGGCTTCAATAGGTATTCGATCATCAAAAAATGCCATTGAAGCATTTTCTGGTGAGAGGTACCACAAATGATTACTAAACTTGGTGCTCAAGTACTCTGAAGCTGGGTTCCTACACGAGTGGCTCCAGACATCCGACCGCCCCAGCGGTAGTTCGAACGTAGCGTATACAGATGACTTGTATACGGTACGCTCAATATCCCACGCAACAGAGGAGATAGGCGCGTTACGAAAAAGTATATGTCATATGTCTTTTAACACATGTATGGAAGTGCACTTGTCCAAAGTGGTTAGATAGTACTGTCCCACATTACGCAAGAAGTCCGGTCCCTCTCTAAAACGATTGTGAGCCGCGACACGATCAACGAGACCATACGGAATACGATCACCACCGCACTGATAACGTGAGAACCAGTAGAAGCAGATCGTACTGATTACGCGCGTCTGTCCGAACTGATCCACGTAACTTTCGGGCCAGACAACACGAGCCAAAACAACGCGGCCTTAAAAAAACGATTGACTGAAATCGAAAAACACAAATTGGGTAACTTATTTCCATTGTCCGTCAGACTACGCGCACATCGTCTACACTAACTCGAGCGAACACGCACGAGCCCATGTTTCACACAGAATATAGCAGATTTAAAAATACACTTTACAACCGTAATCTTAGATTATCTCTACTGTAACGTATTACTTGGACATATTTTCTAACAGACCAGGAAGATTTGCGATTATGTCGCATGTACATTGCATCTAGGCGCAAAGTGACGGACTACAGCGTGCTGGAAAAGAAGCGCGGTTCGCAATTACCACAATATGTAGATAATGCAGGCGACCCACATACGTGCGAATGTTTAACACAGTCAGTAAACAATTATGGTACGATTTCTAATGATACGGTGGGACGCACAAAGCATATCGCGTATGATATCGTTTTAAAAGACCCAACACCCATCGCGTTCAAACCATACTCGTACCCTCTGCACAAACAAGAAGCCATAGACTATAATGTTACTAATTTTGTCCAATTCATCATTCCGTCATATGTGCAGTGGATGTTTGGTATGTCCTCAATTATATAATTCATTATGCACTAGTCAACCAGTCCAGTGGTCAGTACCCGGTTTGTAAGTCAGCTGAACACACACAATGCATCCCCAATATCTATGTAACTCCCTATATAAACCAGTTCCAAGCACCACCACGAGCCACTACAAAACAACGTGAAAGCTCTCTCTTCAAAGGACTACCAAAGTGCATTAGGTCAAAATTAAACTGTTTGGGTAAAATTAACATGTATATTAATCATAGGAATAATTCAAACAATTATTGTTGAATCGTTTCTTACAGTGTAACTACATTATAAAGATATTGGATAAATAATTTACTCTAAATATAGTACACCAGTTAATAGTTTTGTATTATTGATTATTGAAAGTATAGGTATTTGTGTCTGACTTTAAAAAAAATTGATTATTCTTTTTTTAATAAATATCACGTTATTGAATAGCATGAAAATATTCACACGAAATATCAATTTTTCTACCCAAACTATCTTAAAATAAATTAATTGAATTCTTTAAGATAGTATAAAATTATTAGTAGAGTTTCCCACTATTTATTTCACATTAAAAAAATTTTTTATTGATTTCAATTCTTAATAATTTTGATTCATTTTGTTTACGTCCTCGACAAATTTTAATCCGTCCATTAATTTTTTGTACAAAAAAAAAAAACCCAGTTGATTAAATTCCAAAATAAACCATTATGGTTTAAATTTAATTTTAAAATTTGATTTTTACTAAGTGTGACAAAGTGTGGTACGATGCTTTTTAAACTAAAATGATTACTTCCCCCATATTTTTACCTAATATTTAATTTTACTTCGATAATAGACACTTTACCGACTTTGCTGATGATAAAGCTCTTCTACCCCTTCACGTCGACCCTATAACGGCCTTAAGCTTTGTCTAAAACCGCCTCAATTGATGTATTGAAATTTCAACATCATTTTAAATAAATTTTTCTATATTTTTATCATTTTTAAACTGATATCCTCGTATATATATTTTAGCTTCGATGCGAAGCTGAGAAGGTATTGGTTTTACTATCATGTGTTTTTTTTTTTTGTGTCTGTTACCACTTTTTCTCAGCTCTCACCGAACGGATTTCTTTCAACGATACGTCAAAAGATCACAAATTGTATCTAGTCGAAGACATTACCCTTCAAAATTGAAAAAATTTCCCTCGTTCCCCGTAAATGGGGGAAACCTCCAAAAAAATTACAAATTTAAAAATCGCTAATTTTCGAAATTTTTTCAATTTTTTTTACTAAAAACTGCCGTAACTTTTTCAAAAATGAACATATCAATATAATTTTTTTTTTTATAGATGCTTGATGTCTTTACCTATCATTTGGTATATTTTTTTTTATAAATTTTTTTTCTGCCCACAGGGGGGGATTTAAAATGACAACTTTTTCACAAAAAATTAACTTTTTCAACTTAACTTCTGAAAATGTTTCAGAAGGTCTGACACTTTTATATATATCTTAAATTAAAGCTAATGTAATGAAATTTAATTTGAAAAAAAAAATTGACCTCTGGACTTGTCTTCATGGTGAAAACGGCTACCGAATGCTATTTTTGTGTGAAAATTTTCGATTTTATAATTTACATTTTTTACTTTAAAGTGCTATAACTTTTTAAAAAATGTATGGATCAATACAATTTTTTCATGAGAAGTAGTATTTATATACATCTTTCATTGGATATACTTTTTTTTTAAATCAGACTATTTCCCTATATATGGGGGGGCTTCAAATATAAAAAATGCATATAGAAAGTAGAACTTTTTCAACTTAACTTTTGAAAGTGTTCCGGAAGGTCTGACACTTTTATATATATCTTAAATTAAAGCTAATGTAATATACTTTAATTTGAAAAAAAAAAATTTGACCTCTGGACTTGTCTTCATGGTGAAAACGGCTACCGAATGCTATTTTTGTGTGAAAATTTTCGATTTTATAATTTACATTTTTTACTTTAAAGTGCTATAACTTTTTAAAAAATGTATGGATCAATACAATTTTTTCATGAGAAGTAGTATTTATATACATCTTTCATTGTACTTTTTTTTTTAATCAGACTATTTCCCTATATATGGGGGGGCTTCAAATATAAAAAATGCATATAGAAAGTAGAACTTTTTCAACTTAACTTTTGAAAGTGTTCCTGAAGGTCTGACACTTTTATATATATTTTAAATTGAAGCTTATGTAATATACTTTAATTTGAAAAAAAAAAAATTGATCAGTTTTTCTGAATGGCTGACAATAGAATTCAATTCACGCAAATAAACCTCCATCACAGTAAAGGGGCCAGCAGTGTATTACTAAGGACTCTAACCGTGAGGCATACAATACCCTTACAAATAGCACTTATTCAGGAACCATGGATAAATTAAACTGTTTTATAAACAAGCAGATAAACCAAGAACTTGCATTTTGGTTAATAATAAAGTTAGGGCCAGCCTGATATTTAATCTATCAAGTTCAGACTTGACTATTATTAGAGTAACATGATTAAATGATGGTAAAAATATTATAGTAGCTTCAGGATACTTACCATATGAGGTCACAGACCCAGGTAGGGACCTAACTATGCTCTTTAATTATTGCAAAAATGAAAAATTAGAACTAATCCTAGGTATGGATGCTAATGCACACCACACTATTTGGGGGAGCAGTAACATCAACCAAAGAGGAGAGGTTATAATGGATCTATTGCTGACTACAGACCTAAGTATACTGGTCAGAGGTAGTGAGCCTACCTTTGTTATCAGCAACAGGCAGGAAGTCATTGATCTGACAGTTTGTTCAAAAGGGTTACTTCAAAAGATAAAAGGGTGGAAAGTGTCCTCCGAACCTTCTATTTCTGATCATAGGTACTTACGATTCACTTTGGAAATTAACAAAGTTGAGGTGGAGTACTATAGGAACCCGAAAAGAACAAACTGGGACAAATACAGGGCAGATCTCTCTCGTGACCTGAATAACCTACAGTTTAGATTGGTGTCGAGACAGAGTACTGAAAGGGCTGTAAATATGCTACAGGACTCCATTGTCTCAGCTTACAAAGAAGACTGTCCTTTAATAGAAAGGAAAGGTACAGGGCAGGGTGTAGCTTGGTGGAATGCTAACCTGTCTAAATTAAGAAAGAGTTCACGTAAGCTCTTAAATAAAGCAATGTCCAATTACATATATATACCTATATTACATATTTACATATATTACATATATATATTTCAATTACATAAGTTCTGTTTCTATTTAGCACATATCCGTTCATTTATTAGATTTTGTTTTAAATGATTGCCAAAAATATGAATTATCTTCATAAATCGAGTAAATTATATGTTGACAATCCTCAAAATATTGGATCTCATCTAAAGAAGAAATTTTTTCAATTGATTCATCATTGCTACAGGATATGTCAAGAAAATTGAAATATTCTTCCTCTATTTTATATGGAAGAAACTGTAAAGAAAAAAGAAAGAAATTTAATATAAAAATATCCCAATACAACTGGGACTTAGCATAAATAGAGCAAAGCATGATGAAATCATATTGATTCAAATTTGATTGTGATTTAAACAACTATCATATACTGTTTATGTGAAATAAATATTTGTTGAAGGTAGTTTTTGTAAATCTTTTTAAAAAGGGTATAGCTAATTTTTAAATTGAATAGATATATCTCATCAAATATGTCTTAACTAAAGGTGAGACTGATCTAAGTTTTTGTAAAAGTGCTATAAACGTATGTGATAAGCAAAATCTAAAATGTTCATTTCCATCGATTCCTTTGAAAATGTATTTAAATAAATCAACATAAATTTTAGACTTTTTAAAATACTTACAGTTGGATTTTTTTTAAGGTATTTTAGTAATCCTACAGAACACACTTTAGATCTATTTAAACACTCCTCATCATTCCATTGCCAAATACATATTTGACCTCCAATTTGTTTAATATATTCCTCTAAAGTGTTTTTTTTTTCTAAGAGTAATAGAATGTAATTAAAAGTCGATTTAGTAAACTTATCTTCAACTTTACCTGCAATAATTAAAATATTAATTAAACTAATAACAAAAATGTAAAATATTCAAATCAATTTATATTCTTTTAATAAGATATAACTGATCAATTTTTAATTAATTATAATGTAGTATTTGACATAGTATATTATTTATATATAATTATTTACCATTTTCTTTAATTAAGTATAATCCAACATTTTGAACATGAAAACAATTATGAAGAAGAATTCTTGGCAACTCAAATTTTAATAAATGTTGTCCATTATACGAATCATGAGCTGATATAATGTATATCAATATCTGTAAATAATAATAAAAATTACAGAGATCTTTTGTTTATATTATTACTTATTTATATAACAATGATTGATAATCTTAAATGATTTAAACTAGAAATTCAGAAAAGTCAATAATAACGATCAAAAATAACTAGAGCTATAGTAAAATGTCCTTGAATGATCAAATTATAAATTATTAGGTTAGAGTTAAGTGGGATTATAAGGATAATTTGTGGGGACAAATTATTTTCATAAATAATCAGTTATTCGTGTATATGAGGTTTGAGATCAAAGTAACAAAATAACACTTATTAGTATTGTATTTATCAATTATTTTTTTTTAATGTCGATATGACCTTTTTATTTCTAAGTGACTAAACAGGAACGTATTATCTATTAGGTATTATAAGTATTGTTATTAAGTCTTTCGAACAAACTTTAAGAACCCATTTTTTAATCAATTTCGTTGCAAGGCCTGAAGCCTACAAATTATTTTTATTCACTTAGTGCCTAGTGCCAAAGAATAGCTCAATAAACTCATATATTGTGATCACGATTCTTAACTTAAATATTTAATTAAGATAAATATGTGATGTTTCTTACCATTATAACTAATTGTAATGATATGACTTTCATTTTATTTATCTGTAAAAAATTTAATAACATCCACTTTAAATATTATGTTATAGAAATAAATAATTTTTATCTTAAAACATTAAAAAAAAATTAATTAATTTTACAATTTTTTTTAATTACACTATTGAATAAATACTATCAACGATAGTTATATAATTTAAGTGTCACCAAATGGTAACTTAGTATTTATTTAAAATAAAATTGAAATTATATAACCATTGTACGTATTTTTAGACTAATTATTTAAAAATTAATAAGATTTACAAATAAAATCTGTTTTTGTTCAGAATTGGTTTTTTATTAATTGTAAACCATTAAACTATTTTTCAAAATATCTAAAATTTAACTGTTTTATATGTAGTTACCATAAATATAATTCTTGGTCTTTTGTTATAATTTGTGCCAATATTTTAAAGTATATTGTGTTATATAACCATCAGCATTAAATTTATAAGAATCCTAAAACTTATTTTAATATTTTGTTTGTAGATTCAAGTGTATTAATGCGAACATGTAAAATTGTAGTCATACTTTTTAAAGTAAAAAAAACGATGTCAAGTGAGGTAGATTTTAACACTGGCTCTTTTATAACAGCTGTAATTTTTTAGGACATATTTCTTTGACTGCAGACCAACGTATACAATCAAAAATGTATACACATTTAAAAAAAGCATTTCTAACGCTCAAGCAGCCAAAATAAACTCCGATGCAGAGGTTGAAACTAAAACATCAACAAAAACAACATTACAAGCTAATCAATAACTTTGCGATGTACTATTAGCATTAAATAGTATTACCCAAACATTAACCAAACTAACCTTAGACATTGATAAATTAAATACTAATCAGTCTAAATCGATTAAAAAACAAAAAGTGACGACGAAAAAAACGGTATTACACTAGGGTCCTGGCACAGTATGGACGTAGGATAGGTGAGACAAGTATAAATGATATCAGACAGTAATTAAAATCACTACCATAAGAAACGTATCGATGCAAAATTAAGCTAGTTCAAATTTCAAATATATATTTTCCTTGACTGAAAAGTAGCAAAAAAATTTAAATAAGTTTAATTTACTATGCTATGTCAATTAGATTTATACAATATTTATAAAAATCAGTGTACTCCCCTATAAGGTATTTTAAAATACCTTATAATTTGAAGTATAAAATTTGAAATATAAAACCGAGAATTTTAACATACAAATAGCATATTTTTGAATACGGAATCAATTTTCACTATGAAGGCAAAATAAAGTCCGAAATTTTTTTTTCCTATAAAAAAAGCATATTACATAAGATTTAATTTATGGTAGTGTTAATATTTCCAGAACACTTTCAAAAGTTAGTTGAAAAAGTTAATTTTTATGAATAATTTGTCATTTTAAATCCCCCTGTGGTCAAGTAACATTTTTAAAAATGACTAAACATTTTAAAAAAAATTATGGTAGTTTTATTATGCAACTATTTTTATAAGTGTATTAATATTTTATTAAGCATGCGTTGATTGGAATAAACTTAATTTTATTCCTTAAAGCGGCTACAAATATTCTGTAAAAATATATGAAAATTTATAGAATTTATAATTATTATGACTTGTTAAGGAAGTTACCATAATTTATAATCTTTTATAAATTTATAAATTCTTCTTACAATTTTTTTTTCTATTGTAAATTACGTTTTTAGTTACTTCTTCATACATAATAATGTAATTCAAAATTTGTAGTTTTTATTTTAATTTTAGTTTTGATACCTGGTGTTGTAAGTTGTTATCTATACTTTGAAGTATGTACTTGTAAGTAAGATACTTTGATATCATAAGATTAGTATCCTATGTATAATATGAAACAAAAATTATTTAATCATGATTTTGCTATTACCATGACTAGATCATGAAAAATAGTCACATATCAAATAAATGCACAGTTCTTAAAAAAACTCGAGTGAGTTTAATAAAATAAATTTTGCTTTTTAGCATTACCATTTTTATCCTATGTAAGTTAATTTAATTTGTTTTAAATTTAATTTCAGTTACAAATATGATGTCTATTGGTTTTGTATAAATGATTTTAAGCATATAACATTAGTAAGCTTTAATTTCTTCTATCATTTGAGATCAATATTAGAATGTATTGTTATATTGAAATGACAGTATTGTAGTTAAATCTCTTGTACGTTAATTATTCTTATAGTAATACTTTTGCTTTAAAAAAAAAAATCTATTGATAATTATTAAATGTTGAGCTTAAAGTAAAATAATGTTTTAGAGTAATATATGTAGTTATTAAAAAACTTTTCCGATTAAATTCATTTAAGAGGAATAGTAAGAAAAAAATTAGCTTAAAATTTAGGAGTAATTGTTGTTTTAAAAACAATGTGCAAGTACATAAAACAACTATAGTAAAATTATTATTTTTATACATATTATTTTTACACAATTACTTCAATGGCTTGTTAAAAAATTTGAGCTATCAGTCAACAAATATTTTTATTAAATTTTACTTACAACTGAGAATTGTTTATTTATTACAATGGTAGAACCTTGACGAGGCATAATTATTTCTGTTCCCTCAAAACAATTACTCAAAAAAAAAAGTATAGATAATATAAAAAAATTATTTGAAGTTTTTAATAAACTATTATTGAATTCTACAGTTATTTAATTTATGTCTAAAATAATTCACTGTGGTGAGTTAAACTAATCAAAGATATTAGTTTATATTTAAAAGCTATTGTGTTAATTATAGAACTGAATACAAAAATTCATCAACTTCATCAACTTTGGTATTGCCGATTCAGATTAATTAGTTATTTGTTTATGGATAAATGTTGTGTGAATGCAAAAATAAATTCATAAAAAATGTTAAGTCAATTTTTTTTTTTTTTTTTATTCCAAAACTTTAGTAATTTGAAATTCACAATAAGTTGAAAAAAATAATTTCCCTCGAGCTTCAATTTATCCAGGTTCTACTGTATTTTCAAATTGCAATCAGTGCCGGCAGGACCGTCTTAAAAGAAAGGCATAAGGGATATCACACATGACAATATTTTAACCTTTTAATAATACCAAGCCAGTGTACTGGTGCTAAGTTTTAAGGGCCCTGTGCTAAATAGTAAAGGGTTTTAGTGAGATAATAAATTAATTGCTTTATATTATGTAATTTCATAAAATTAAAAAAAAAATTATTGTGAGATAGGCAAAACGCTATAAACTTTCAAGAATAGTCAATAAAAATTCTATATGGTATGTATTATTTTCAATTTCACTAAATTTGTACATATATTTTTCTATAATAGAATATATAGACAATTTTATAAGACATATCATTAGTTTTTTTAGTAATGGAATCTATTCTGTTTCCCTCAGCCATAATTAGACTCATACTGTCGTAGAGGCTAACTTTACCACTAGACTTATTGTGATAATGTTAATATGTAAGTATATATATGTATTAAATTATAAAGATACAATTTTTTTTTGATTGGAGGGAGAAATAAAAGTTATTTGCAAGGTTGGAGCGTGTATCCTGCATGACCCACTGTTGTGTCGGCGCGGTATTGATTGCGATGTATTTTATTTTATGAGGAAATAAGTAATTTTTTTTGCTAAACATGATTTTTTTATTGGAGACTATTGAAATGTCTGTAAGAGAATTATCTTATTTATTTTAATTTCTATGGCATTACACAAATTTTGCATGAATTCATGTATTACGCATATTCTGTCATAGAATAAAATATAATTCTCATACTAGAGTTTTGCAATGCCAAAGTGAAAAAATTTCTGAGTAGAGCAAACAGAAAAAAGGTTTTTTACAAAATAATAGTAAAATATAATTGAAGTACTGGTTGTAACAAATAAGTTCAATTTTAATAATTTAATACAGGGGAGTCAATTTTTAGTAAGATACACGCACTTGACTGACTAAGTACAAATTAATCACACAGTGTTTTAAAACAAAAAAAGATAAATCTGCAATTAGGGTTTTGCATATGACATAAATAATAAGAAAATACTTCTAATTAATATAACAAATAATTATGTTTGATTATTAGATTACATATGAATAATCAATAAATATATTTTAATTAAAAATAAGCTGAAAAAGATTTGATCTCGCCTTGTATAAAAGGGAAATGGTCTGATTTAAAAAAAAAGTATGTCGAATGAAAGTGGTATATAAATAATACTTATCATAAAAATATTGTATTGATCTTTATATTTTTCAAAAAGTTGTATAAATATTAAGTTAAAAATGTAAAATATAAAATCGAAAATTTTAACACATAAATAGCATACGGTAGCCATTTTCACCGTGATGACAAAATAGAGTTCGACATTTTTTTATTAACTTTGATGTTAGTTTTCACCATTTCATTTCAACCCAACCCAACCTACAAAGTACAATGCTTTTATTCTGAATATATTTTTTTAAAATTGAATTTTATACTAACAATCTTAAAACTATAATAATTTAAAATACAAAAATTAGTTTTTTCTGTTATTCTGGAGGTAATTTTAAAAATTATTTGAATAGAAAGAGATGTTGAATTTGAATTCACTACATAAAGATTTTGACAAAACACCGTGTTGAATTATTTTACACCAATTAATTTATGTTAAGGTTGGGCTTGCAATGTAGAACTTGAAAACTATTAAATTACATAATGTCCTTCATCTTTAAAATTGATCAGCAATTTCCCAAAGTAGAACTCATATTATAATAAAACCTGTAACAATTAATAATATTTCGTTGTAACTTTTTTTTTTTTTTTTGCAATGCATTGCTATAACTAGGGGAACTAGTAAAACATTAGCCGTAATTTAATATATCTAGGAATAGATACATAATGTTCAAAACTAAATTAGAAATATTATTAAATATATAAAATATTTATAATATAAATATATTAAAAGCACTTTTTATAAAGTATAAGAATAATTATTCTTTTCACAAAAATTTTGAATTCCCTATAGTTTCTAAGAAAATAAATGTCTTATTCTTAATTGACTACTCTATATAAATATTACAATATTGTATACATTGAACATCTATTAAACACTCCGTTTATCAGCAATAATATTTTTTTATATTCGCATAACAACCTATTAAAAATGAAACTCATTATGACCAAAATAATGTTTTAAAATATTAAATGGTGAAATTTCAATAATATTTCATTGTCAACATGACTCAAGTGCAAATAATGAAAAAAAAATTGTGAATACTAAATGTAGTTTATAAAATCCATAAATAACTTGTTCCTTATACTAAGATCTGAATTTATAATATGAAGGTCTCAGTTCATGTCATAGTTGGACAATAAAAAAATAAAAAACTTTATAATTCCTTATCAATTGACTTATGTGTCCTTTTCTATGCATTACGAGCAAAAAAAGATCATAAACTTTTTTTGAGGATTTTGAGTCGCAACTAAAATTGATTAT